GTTTGTGTCATCCATCGTGGTTTTCAAGCCTTCGCCGACTTTCAGGACTTTTTGTTTTTAGAGATGTTTTCTATGGTAACTGTGATCGTAGACAGAGGAAAGAGAAAAGTGGGTGCAGAGAAAGGTAATGAGTACCACAGGAGGAAGCGGAAACACAAAGTAAAGAAACGGAGAGAAAAGGAAGATGGTAGGACAGCCAGGGGAGGCTTTGACTCATGGTTGCTAAAGGAAGGCGGCGGAACCTTGACACGCCTGCGGAAGAAAGCAAAAAAGATCTTTCCGTAGTGGCTTCCCTCCCAGCGAGAAACAACAGGCAAACATGAAAAGGAAAGCACGTCCAGTTTTCTGAGTTTCCAGCATGAAATATTTGTTCTGAAGTTCTAAATGGTAGAAAAAGGAAAACCCATCTTTGTATATCTTTTTCTCCTGTCAGGCAAAATAGAACGTCAAATATTAATGGAAGAGAAATCTCCAAATGCACAACTTGAGAGTTTATTTGAAGCTATACAACTAAGCTTGAGACATGATCAAAACTCAGGGTAAAGAAAATGTCTTTCCACTGTTGTAACGATGTGTGTGTGTTTTGCTTTAGCCCTGTGTTCTGGTAGCACATTGACTATTCAAGGCTGAAATGCTTGGAGACCCTCCTCCCACAGCAGCGCTAGTTCACTGTATCCAACAGGTTTCCTGACTTCCCTTTTCAAGCTTGTTGCTCTTGGCTCTAACCCAGGGCATTTACAGTGATGGTTGGTTACAGTGGTGGCCTACTAGCCTGTGGATCCCAACTAGCCTGCACTCAGATCAACCCCCTGTCAGTCCCAGGATTACAGGGGCCTCCCCTGGATGTGAAATTGTGTCTAGAAGGGAGTAAGTGGATATTCATTCTGGTCAGTATTATGAGGGCTGGCCAACTTAATTCTCTGTAAAAGTCATCTCAAGACTGAGAGTATGCCACAATTATTACAACTGAACTAATCTAAATGCCCCAACAGACAGGTCTGATAGTAAATACACAGACCTAACCCATACCAAATACTCCTTCCTACATAACTCTATGTGTCTCTTTCAATATAAATTAGTGTAGAAGGGCAGATAAAAGCTTGATTTTCAAGGCAGGTTCCTCCCGTCCTCACCTTCACTTCTTTACTGACTTGCTTGCTGGGATGTCTCAGACTAGTCTTGATACTAAGGCTTCATGGCAGTCATGGCATAGAGTGTTGCCAGCACAGGACAAAGGTGGAAAGCTCAGCTCTCTCCAAGAGCTGCTAATTTCAGTAGGGAGGCAGAGACTAGCGACTATGCTGAGAGTGCTGTGAGAAGAGGGTGTAAGTTTGGGACAGATGCTGGTTTTGCCTATTTTTAACTTTCATTAGCTCAGAAATTATTGGCAAATGATGCAAAATGACTATGAGCGGTGAAGGTATTTATTAAGTACAATGCAATATCATTTTAGATTGATAAGGGACTCCTACCTAGAGATGGCCCTATTATATTTACATCTGAAGAAGCCAAAGAACAAACTTTCAGTAGGACCATCAACACCTAAGGTAATAAACTATTTTATTGGAAATTTTAAGTTAATTGCCTTTGGAACTTGCTATTTTGGTAACACTGTGTTAGTGAAATAATGAGACTGATTTTCCGGTGTGACTTAGAGAAATTAATTC